TACCTCTTGATCAAGATTACCAGCTGGAACAGCATCATCTACTGATTCCAAAGATTCAAGTGTTACCCTGAAATAAAGATTCCCTGATACGACAAAAAAAAAACCGTATAACAATTACTGAAGTTAACAGAAACAGAATAATGGAGTGAGTCGAAAGTTTTTGATTCTACGATTTGTTTATTCGTTTCGATGGTAAACTGGTACTTGGTACAAATTCAATAGCCACCATCAGCTTGCTTCTAAGGAATCCTTGGAAGAGAGAGTTGCCGACATTCTTGTTGAAGGGTGGTTTACTACTGGCACAAGGTAGCATCACTCGCGTTATCATTTCCTTGGAAGCTTTATGTATTCATTTATGTGGGTACCACTATTTTTTAACAAAAGTTATCAACTTTCAGAGAGGTTCATCGGAATATCCTGGGTAAAAAAACAACATGGAACTAGCCTTGAAATATTATCGCCTTCATCATCATAAATTCTCAGTTCATCGTATGGCGCCGTAGCATCGGGATCTGCTTCCAGGGTCTTAATTCTGTTGTTCAGCTTATCATCTGAAATTGATGTTACTGTTTATAGATGCAACAACTGTGTGCATCGATGTTGTAAGTTTATAAAATGTACATTTCTGGATTGCGCAGTTTCACTGTCAAAATTAGATGCTTTATTAGGATAAGATTTGTACAACTTAATGGACTGAAACGCTCGCATCCTAGCTGATACTTCCAATATACGTAATATGTATATAAATATATGAATATATATGTTTATACATAAATAACAAATATACATTATATTTATTGTACATTATGCATTTACGCACGTACGCACTTATATTACTTTTTTTTCTCTACATTACTTATATACCTTTACTTGTTATTTACTACGCAGCGTTTACTTAAATTACAATTTCTGCATGAAGGTTACTTTTACTTCACTTATTTATATCTACTTGAACTAAAAGCTAGGTGGATTTGCCAAAACGGATCTAGTGCTGCGGCTGGGGTTAAAGAACGCACCCATGTTTTGCCAAAAATGGCGTAAAGT